TTCTTGCCGCTGCCGGAAAAATGAAGCGACGCGCGTTGTGTTATTTATGAGATTTTAGCGCACAGATGGTGACCGCGCGCCATTGGATGCATCGGAGCGCACGAGGAAACCACCTGTTATTTTCCGCATTTCGCTTTCCGAGCGCGAACGTGCCGGCGAAAGTACGACGGGGCGCAATGCGCCGTAACTATTCCGGAAAATGTATTTCACCGAGAAATACGAAGAGAAACTGGCTATCGTTACTCTCGGCTTGTCGGAAACTTGGCACTTTGTCGGGATTGTTAACACGAATAATAATTGTTACTTTCAAAGCACTTTGCTGATGACGTGAGCTGCACTGAAAAAAAAAAAGGAAGTCGCGGTTTATAGGAATTTCGCGTGAGAGCCTTTGAATGAAGCTGAAGCCGTTTTTAAGCTGCGAAAACTCATATAAATAAGTTGCGCGAGGAAAAAGATGAAATTTCTTAGCTTAATCCTAGACCCTTCGAAGTGGATGCGAAAGAGAGATTCGGAGTTTGCGGATTAAGTCTAACGAAGTTCAACGATAAATGCGGGATTTGCGGGAGTAAGCAATCGATCTTCCATTCGGGTGCAATTGAATCTTCTCTTCTAGCGCACCTTGTAAACAAATTCATTAAAGATAGAGCTTCGAGTATCAATGTGAATATATACATTGTATTTATTGCGCCGTAACAGCGACGGGCAAAAAAGATCTCAACTACAAGATTTCGCAACTACGAAAAGCTGCTTTTCCGGAAATTACAATGAAAGGAAAGAAAAAGAATCATTAAAATTATGCAAATCAAAATATTTCTCTCAAATTATCTTAACACATTATTCCTTTCTATCAAATTATATTATTACCAACTGAATTTTCTATGCAGTGTATTATGCATTTTTTATTATTTCCTAAATTTATTATTCTGTTATTACATTTATACTTTAGCTACGATTAATTCTTTCAGACAACCGTAATCATGGACCGACCGACCTTTAGAAGCTCTCTCGAATAATGACTTTCGCGGTAGGAAATGTCGAGGCGCATTATCGTCACTCTATAAAGGGATAAAGGTCGAATACACCCATCGTTCCACCTGGGGACTTGATTCGCCGAAGAACAGATGCCGAGAGCGGGATATTGGCGATAAACAGACCGTGCGATGATAACGGCCGCGACCAATTACATGATCGCGCGTGACTCGATCGGGATTATAGGTCAGTTTGGTCTGAACGACCTTGACTATTTTCTCTCTCTCCCTCTCTCTCGAGAGGGAGAGAGAGAGAGAGAGAAAGAAAGTGGGTCGATATCGGACGGCTCCAGACATCCTGGAACCGACAAACAGAAGCCTGCTGTTCGCTTCGGGATATATTCCGAAATGTAGACAGCGAATGACGCTTTGCGTCACGTCCGCCTACGCAGCTGGTACACCGAACATAGGTGAAACATGAGTAAAAAATTCAAGCAGAAGTATACAATAAGATTTTATTCGAAAAGATGTGTTGTTATGATGTGCTATATATTCTTTATCTCTCTTTCTCTTTTTAGTCCAATAAACAATATTAATAAAACCAATTATATTAAATTACAATGGCTCGCAAAAATAATCTCCAAAATAATTTCAAAACATTTGGAAATATATCGTCTGTGTATTTTTTTGAAATAATATGCAAATTTATTCTTCTTGTATGTCTGATCTTCTCTCTCTCTCTCTCTTTCTTTTCATCTTCCTTATTATGTTAAAATATGTTGGAACATGGTAATTTTAAACTCTTCGTAATATAAAATCTACATCTCATATATAAACTCTGTGATACATCTTTTGCGCATTATTAATAAATTATTTCATAGCGTAACATTTGACATAAGAAACCTTTTCTCCGTCTTTAAAAAAACTGAGTTACGATGGAAAACTAACATAATTCACAGTACCCATGGATGAACAAGTCTTTAATCTATCATTTCCCTAGCTTTCCTTCTTATTACTTCTAAGATAATCCAATTTCCACGGAAGAAAATCCATTAATTTGTTGATCAGTAACTTATTTAATTAGCGAAGAAAACAAAAATGTTTATTTTTTTAAATAAAAATACAATAATGAAAATTCCTTGCAGCTATTTTGAATTTTACAATTTTCTTTAAATAGAATTGAAAAAAAAAATTGAAGAAAAATTCCATCAAATCGTCTTTTGTGATTAAACCTCATCGCCTAATATTTCCTGCTTTCAATATTTACTTAATTTGTCATAAACTTCTAATTTTCAATGCCAATAACTTTATATTTATCAATTTTCCATTTTCAAGATTTTCTTTCCATTTTCAGAATTTTATTCTTGTCGAATAATTCATTAAAACAATCTCCATTTATCTTTCTTTATCCTACGCGATTGAAAACGCGTCCGGCTTTCCTGGAGCACCATTTATAATTCGCGATTTATAACTCACGATAAACGAAAAGCCGGTGAATAAGGCTTTTCAGTTCTAAGCAGACCATTAGAAAAATTTACGTCAGCGCTCACCTGTTAAAAGGAATCTTGTGGGCGGTCATGATTACAGTCTCGTTTCAATAGCGTCTTATTCGCTTGAATGGCGCACACGGGGGATGCTGGCCATTGTGTACGCCAAACCCACGAGTTACTTATATATATGGTGTCGTAAAGGCGGTACCGACGTCGGCACATTCTCTTTAACGGTCTTGCATTAAGTCTTAAGAGTCCGTTAACGAGTCTTACTGTCGACCCGAGCATCCTCGGAACAACAACAAACATGAGCAAGATCCAGAACTTTTTCTGCCTCCGGCAATAAGAAACGCGCTCGAAATTCTCTAATTAACTCACCTAGAGTCGTCTTTCCTCGCGGGCAAAATTACGAATTTCGCGAGATAAGTCGGTCGCGTCCAAGTCCGCGTGTAACTACACCGAGTTAATTACAGGGAAATTAGTACGGATAAGGAAAGAAAGAGGCGCTTCCAAGTCTTCTTTGTGAAAATTTATATTGAAGACAAAACGTAACTATGTTCGAGCTATTATAGTTATTTCGTTTTCTTTCATCATGATCCGATGGTTGCATCATTGCAATCCAGCTGTCCAAAATTTGCCTCAAATATTTTGCAATAAAAATTAAATTTTTCTAATTAAAAATATCTGTTTTTACAATTTCTGAATATTATTACGCAGACACCAATGTAAATGGTAACAAATAATAATAAAAGATCCAAATAATACAGTCAAAATGTTACATATTTCGGATACAAGTTTGTTTGTTTGAATAACGTTTATAAAAATATTTGGAAGCGCGTGCGAAAGAAAGAAAAAATATATTGCACAGAAACACGCTTTTCAGAGTGAAGCGCGCTCGAAGCTCTCGTGGCGCGTCGTCAAATCGCGCGAGCGAGTGCGTTGCGGCCAAAGGGCAGGCTAAAAACGAATGCACTCGGCCGCGTCGCGGACCGTGGGCCGATCATTCCCGATAATTAAATGTCAGGTCGCTCCGCGAAAACGAGAGAGAGAGAGAGAGAAATGACACGGACGAGCCGCTCTTCCACTTGCTCGAAAGGCACTAAACGAGTCATCCGTGCTATATTTCGGGAATCGATAGCCCGATGAAGTACCCGTATAAGCATTAATCCCACCGTGCATTGTGCAACACGCGGTATTATCTCAATATTTTTTCCCCTTTTTACTTTCCGTATATATTTGTATCGATTGAGAATTCAGTGCACTGCAGAAAAAAAATAAAAAGAAGCGAGAAGATTCAAAACGCCCCGCAAGGGGTGAGGATATATTAACCCTCGCGAGAGATACAAATCCTTACCGGTGCAATAAAATCCCTCGCTCTAAATCTCTCACAAGGAGAAAGAGAGTGAGAGAGAAAGAGTCGTGCGAGAGAGTAATAAAGGATAAATAATCGTCGAATATTGGACGACGGCACTCACCTTCGTTCTTATCGTGCGGCATTGCAAAACAAATTGACACACTCCAGCGAAGCTCGAAACACTCCTTCGACGTTGTTTTCGCGCGGAGATTTCAGGGAATCGGGGTCGTGGCGGGGTGTTAAAGCCAGGGGGGATAAAACGCTCAACACGGAAACTCGCGTGGGTTTGCTTAGGTTTCAAAATATTTATTTCCGCCGTGATTACATGCGTCGTCTACACGTATGCGTGCTGCGATTACACAAGTACTAACGCAGAATTGCATAGGTCATTGCCAAGTGTTAATTGCATCGCGTTGGGAATGCCGGCCGCGAGACCGCAAACGCGATCACGCAAATAGACCGTATGTATACGCAAAACGCAAACACATATATGCGCGCGCGCATGCACACACACACACACACACACACACACACACACACACACACACACACACACACACACACTCTCTCTCTCTCTCTCTCTCTCTCTCTCTCTCTCTCTCTCTCTCTCGCACACACACAGCATCCTTGTGAATTCCTCGTTCCGAAAATCGATATTCAAGCGCCTCTCCGCCCGCATCGTCGAATTCGGGCGGTCGATACCGTTCACAAGATACACTTGATATCGCGACGTTGACGGAGGATACGGATAAGCTTGCGTATGCGGAATCTGGATTGGGACTGTTTGCGTGAACGCGCAGCGCCACGATTAAGCGATCGATGGAGTACTAACATCGATGGGGGATATATGTTTCGATACGTTCATATAACACGTATGTCACTTAGCCGGAAGATTTCTCGCCCCTTACAGAAAACAAACTTTGATATTTTTAGATATTATTTACACGTTTCTTTCCATGGCAGTTATAAGAAAGGGAGAAACCCAGCCAAGAAAAACTGAAGTGTAAGCAAACTGACAATATACTTTTACACAATAAACATCTTCGTAAAGAGAGATTGAAAGAAATAATTCCTTCTCACTTAAAATAAAAATAATTGCATACTTTTATTAAATTATTCTTGATAAATAACTAATATTAATAAATGATCTTACCAAATTATTTATTTATAATAATTTGATAAAAATATAATTACTGCGTGAAAAAAGATTAGAATTATTATCTTCAAGATAGAAAATATTTAATTATATTCCTGAACAAGGAATATTTCTTAGTTCTGCGCCTTCAATAATTATGACAAAAAAATGTAGCTACAGCACATCGTCACATTTTGCAATCAAAAGTCGGAAACTAAAATCAGAAGACAAACATCGCGAGAACTTCGAAAGTTGTAACGATCAGCAAATGAGCAATCGTTATTCTTAATAAGTTCATAAGGGTCATTAGTTTAACTATTGGAACACGTACGGAGGGTCACAAATACCGTCGCTGTCACAATTACCGTCATGATTGCTCCTAATTATTCACCGACTGACATAAATCCTCCCTGCTGCGAGACGGATGTCGATTGATCGCGCGACCCTCGAAATCCGACTCGACGTGCACCCTCCTCTCGTCCTCGTTTGTGTACAGAGTGGTCGGTTCGCGGCATGTATCGTATCGATCAAGCAAACCGCACACCGAGGCTTTCGTGGGTGAACGATCCCGCGGTTTCACGCGTCCGGCATTCGATCCGCTTCGATGCTTAGAAAATTCAAGAACATTATTCAACATTGATATGTCGGCCTATATTGAGTATCGGCTTCGCTCGCTCGCTCGAGTCCCTCACTCACTCAGTAAACGGATCGGAATGACAGAATAGCCCTAATCGCGTCTCATGCTCGATCCCGCCTAAATTCATTCGCACGCGAATCATGCGCGAATAAACGTAATCGTGCGCCATCATTTTTCCTCTATCGAGGATTTGGATAAAGAGTAGATTGGATTCAGATCTAATTCGAGATAATTTAACACACTACCACTGTCACTAAGTAGTACGCTCACCACAATGATAATCAATGTATATTTAAAAAATTCCTTATTTTTGATAAGTGATTAAATTTATTTATCTCATTAAAGAAGCGCACACGGTTCGTGTTCCTTTTCTTTCTCGAGAGCGAAAGAAGTCATTCAATACTTCTTTGCGACCGTCTTATATATATATATATAAACTCTTTTCTTATTTATACGTTTAATCAGCTTTCGATGCTCCCAGAGCGCCCAATTTGTACGCCGCCCTCGCCGTTGATTACACGCTATTCAGGGAAGAAACAATGGCGTGCGAATGTTGTCCTGGCCAGTGAAATAGGAGCAATAGATATCGATACATCATGCGCGCTACGTCAAAGTGCGCTGTTACACTCGTCCGACAAAAGGGGTAGACCCTTCGATCGATCGATCACCGGGTCTCTCGGTTAAAGGGTCCCTAAACGCAAGAGGACACGAGAATCCAAGGTGAATCGCATAAGCGACCGGGACAGCACCTTCTATTGGAATTCTCTATTCACTTCCTCCGGTACTTCATCCTTTAAGTGACCTCTACAAATTGAATTACGGTGTACGACGTCGCTTCGCCTTACGGTATCCATCATCGTACGAAAATCACGCGCTAACGCTGATGGCGGACGCGTATATCCCTCGCCCCGGTTGCCGGAGATTCGCCTTTCTAGAGAATTAATATGAAACCATATAACTTTTCTTGTTGCACATTAAAATTCCGCTGCGGAGAGCTAGAAGACTCGATTAATCCCTCATGGGACAATCCGGAGAATCTAGGTCACGCTTAAAACGACGAATAATTTTATATTCGCCGGTGCTTTGTGTCCATATTTGAATAAATTTCCGTGATATTTAATATCAAATATTAAAAGTTCGCAATAAATTCGGCAAAGAAGTTGCTGTTAAAATTGGGACTTAAAATGTTCTCTAGAATACCTTGTACATTGAATACAAAGTAATGTGTACACGATCTCGAACTTTGGATACTTAGTTCGTTGTTGATTATTATACGCAATAAGAAAATTGTTCTGTATGCGTCCGGATCTCTACGCACTTTTGGCAAAGTGAAGTTTAAAAGAATACAATTACGGAGCGTTGAACTGAGCAATAATTCAGATTTCGAGACAAATTGATAATTATTATATGATTGCATATTAATTGCAGGATTACATTTCAGGATTATAAGCCGAAGTTTCCCGAGCGTTGCACGTTGGAAATAATTAAGCTGAGCGTTATCGAAACATTCGTCACGCACAGAATTATATATAGAACGTATTTAACACGATATGCATATCATATTAGGTGGCTGCACTGTATTGCGTTTCTCGCCGTTCGCGCTCTTCGTCGAAGCGCGAAATTCTCTCTGCTGTATCGAAATCGTATCAGATTGTCTCTCGTTCGTTGCGTTACACTGTTACAACACTGCATCATACATCGTAATCGAGATGCATAACGCCAATAGAATTACTGCGACGTGCGATTCAAGTCTCAAAGATGGCTACAACCAAAGGAAAAATGAACTCAAATCAAATCTCTTTTAATTGAGACAGATTTAACATATGGCTCGATAAATTTTCTGCCTTTATTTTTTTATCGATTAATAATTAAGTAAGCGCAAAAAAGTAATAAATAACTTATTTCTCCGCGCCTGATAATTTACTTTAATAAACTCGAATTAATCCTTCAAGTTTTTAACGCTACTCTGAAAAACTTTGGAAGATAAAGTTTGTAACTATCTATCTTGTAGCAATCCTTTTTTCCGAGAAGTTTAATTCTCTTCAATTTTGTTTTTTTTTAAATTTATTACAGTTATACAATATATTATTGGAGAGTTGATCGAAATTTATAGGGCAGAACAAATCACGAACCGCGTAATGAACCAAAATTAGGGTCGTTTGCATAGTTCATATAGGACGTGATTACAATCGTGTCAATTAGTGCAGTTTGTGCGTACGAAAGGGCTTTAATGCCGCTTCCGGGGACAATCACATTCCAAACAATACTTAACGATTCGCGAGCAAATCACAATGTACACGAATATCTACTCGTACAACTGTTATAAATTGTCAAAAATCATAACTCGAAAATATTATATATACAATGAAAATCAATATATATTATAAATCTATTGTTATCAAAACATACTTTCAAGCAAAAAAACAACAGAAAGATTATGAAAACCAGAAATACGAATGTCGGGGCAAAAGATATTACAAAAATTAATATAGATTAGAAATACAAAAACTTTTTGGCTCAATTTCAGGTCCTCTTCAGTTTGAGTTTCCTGGAAAAACTCTCCGTTTACTTTAAACGCTAAAAGAATGTCGCATTGAATTAAGCCATCAAGGTTAAAACTGGAATCGTACGTCACAGAAGGGATTCCCCGTCGTAGAGAGAAACGGCAAAGTTAGGAAATTAGGGAAATGTCAGCACATCTCGATGTAAAAATAGTTACGCCACGCGAACAGAGAGACATCCAGCTGTCGCCAGTCGCCAGTTCTTTTCTTCATTCCTACCCGTTCCGTTCCGAGGATCCATCTTAGAATCGCCTAGACTGGATCCGGCACAGGTGCGAGTAGCTGCATGCTACTGCTCGATTTCGTAATCTGCAACGACAACGTCAAATCGCCCGCTATATTGAGACCCTGATCTTATACCTGAGCAAACTAAACCTTGTCTAAGCCTTATAAATAATGATAAAAACGAGAAAATCAATGCTAAAAACAAATCTGGCAACATTCTTGTATACTAATATTGAAAATTCAAATAATCAATTTTTTAATAAAATATTTTCCTCAATTGAAACAATTCTATTCCTTATTTTATCAAGTCGTAGAAAGAAGTGAGACATTTTATTCAAGACTAAAATATTATAAAAACAAACTAATACACTGAATTACAATATCAATTTTTTAACAAAATATTTTTTTATAACAACTTCTTTATTTTATTTGATCAAGAGAGAATGTGAGTAAAAGTATCACAATGACAAACTCTATTGAATTATAAATATCGAGACATTTAATAAAATATTTTAATTAAAGTGATCTATTCTTTATTTTATAGATAAAATTTAATTGAAGCAGGATAAGGGATATTTCCTAGAAGCGGAATAATACAAAACAAGTCATATCAAGGTCTCCGAGATATACGAGAAATAAATCGAGATATCACGACAGACCGAGAAATATAGAAACGAGCAACCAAAATAAAGGGCAGAAGGGCGCGACAGTTTAATTCAGTCTGACCTGGAAAACGAGGACGCGCCGCAATCAACCGGATTAAATAATTTGTGCTGGAGGACCTTTCTCGGGAAGAGACAAGCTGGAAGGTCAGATGCGCGTATTTTGGACTCGAGAAATTTGTAACCACTATTAACCCGTTAAAGCCCGCAATTCTCTGGAGCTTCGCAAAAAACTACAGCTCGTAAAGCACTCCGTACTGACACGTGTAAGTTCCGTCAAGAAGCGCCCGTGGTATTTTCAAGGATTTCCCGAATACTCATATTAAACGGAAATAAAAGTTCTGTGAAATTGTGTTACCTAAAATCCGGTAAAATAATAAATGGCGATCAAAATCGATAGAAGCAAATTAATTTGCCTAATCAAAGTAATTTTTTGGATCGATGTGAATGGAAACAATTTGTGCACGCAGAAACACGAAGGACAAGATCATTGGTAATCAGCAGTACGAGAGAAGGATTCGAGGATTGGACCTAACCGAAGGATTGATTGAGAAAAGTTTTATCTCGACAGGGAATATCGTACCTGATGTTCCGATTGCTTGTGCGATTTCCTGGCGTAGACTTTCAAGACCCGGCAATTACATGCGACGGAGAGTGCCACTGCCGATCCCTGCGCAAGAGATAAAATCGTCGTGTGCAACAGACTGAATAGAGTTGTATCATCGAGTTACACACATCAAAGAAACACGACCAATCTAATTTTTAAATACCACTCATTATGATTTTTATACCATTTAAATAACGTCAATAATAACCTAATAAAAAAAAATTTAGACAGATCACAAGCATTCTTATTATGAATTTTCAATCGCCACACTGGAGGGACAGAAAATGGGTTACAAAAGGCAAACAAAAGAAAGTAAACCTTTGAAAGGAACAGAGAAGAGCGAGGAGTACGATAGGACGAGGGCGTACGAATGAACGCGGCAGGCAAAGTAAGAAGAGAGGTCGGGCCACGTCTTTCGCCACTTCGAGATTCGTCGATCGCGAAAAGCTCTCGCTGTTGAAGAACACTTCAACTCGACTCGGCAAACTTAGTCCGTGGATGGAAAGATCGAGCTATATACGCCGAGAGAGAGGCACGCTGAAAGCCGTTTACGCTTGACGCAAGATCGAACGCGTCAGGGGCGCAAAGTTTCTCGAGGAACTCGCCCGGAGAAGGAGCACGTGGAAAGAGATTCCGCGCGTTCCTGCGTTTGCCCTCCCGCCTCTTTATGCGCGACGCGACGCGGGAACGCCGAGCGTTCTCGAGAACTTGGCCGAGAGATCTCTATGTCGGAAATGAAGTCGGTGTAATATTGCGATTATCCGCAAATGCCGAACGTCTGATAATCGAAATATTGGAATGCACAAGAAATTAAATTAAATTTAAGTTTGAGATAAATAATTGTCGAACAATAAGAGAAATCATAGTATAAATGACGGTTCACTGATGGTCCACACAATTGTGCGAGGACATAATTCAGAGAATAATTTAAATGATAATTCAGTAATAATAATAAATTTAAATAATCACCCAAATCGCCCAAATAATAATTAAATTAATAATGCAAAAATAATGTGTGTGTGTGTATAGAAAAATAATTAATAAAAAAATTCGGTAAATCCACAAAAATAAGATGTAATAATTACACGATAAATAACAAAAATATATTAAATAAATATTGTAAATTAAATGATTTTATAAATTGTACATTATTTATTTAGTATATTTCCATTATCTATTATGTTATTTTTACATCTCATTTGTATAAATTTATCGAATTTTTTAGAAAGTGTATATACAAATATATATTTATAATTAAATAAATATATATATAATAACCAGTAAACTCGTAAATTATTTTTTAATTGTAACGTAAATATCGAAGTGCGACGTCATTCGTAAAGTTAATAATCTTTCGTCCCGTTCATCTTTCAACGTCATCTCCTAATACGCGCTCATATATTCGCCGATATAATCCACCGAAATTGCGATGGAAATATTGCAATCATAAGGGGTATGCCGTTAGGGAAGGAAAACGTGAAGGGAAATGGCGTTTCGGCGGATCTTGCTCGCATGTGCTTGTCGCGCATATATTGTCGCCTTACCTGGAGAGAATGACAGGTGCAGAACACGGCCCAAAGAAAGGGGATCTTCAAGGTTCTGGACGCCATTCCGCAGCCAGCCACAAAGGCGATGATTATGCTAACCTTTAGGAACAGCATCAGCTGCAACCTCTGCCTCCGCTTCATCTTCTCGCGCTGCTTTACATCGAGCTGCATGCTGTACGTGTACCTACGACCGTATGCAACCGCGACTTACGCGACGTCTGACGTAATTCGTGACCGAGAAAGGGGAGTAATGCGAAACTTTCGGAACACAACCGCTCGGGAAAGCAAAGTTAGAAATTACGAGAATGAAAATATATGAGTCATTCTAAGAGTATAAACTAGTTAGAATCCCAAAAACTGGGGAACACGCGTACTTATAATTTCTAGAAATGTGATTGAAGTTCGTGATTAGCGTTGCGACTTTTCACAAAATTGCGCAATCGAATTATGTTTAATATTAAGTAAGATAAAGATTGCAATTGTTTCGATGAGATATTTTCTGCTTTAACCGTTTGATCAGTCGTTAAATTATTGAAGCGTAATCGTAAAATGACTATACATAGCACTTACCTTGCCACGATTGCAGCCTTGACGATGTAGTAAGTGCAAGTTAGTAGTAGCAGAATGATCGGACAGCCGTACGCATAGATTGTCGCCGCATCTCCCAGAAACCTGAAATCAATAACACACATGGAGAAAATTTAATACCGTCTTTAAAGTATTTAATACAAAAATATAATATTTATCCATATAAATATCGATTTCAAGTTGTCTAAAAAATTTCAACTAGTTTAAAATAAAATTCGTATAATTAAATTGAATTAAAATTAACTTTTGATTCTTTATATATCGCACCAAGATTTGTATTTGTATTTTATAATTTAATTAAATATCATGTTTATGATAACTGCGCGAAGCAAATATCCAATGAATGCATTGGCTGGCAAGTATCACGTAATCGAACAATATCGTTCGTATAAAAATTCAATCCGGTACTGCAATTCTCATGAAATGCGAGAACCGTGATAATAAGTGGAGGAAATATTTATTAGCTCTGATTTATCAGATTTCGTCTATAAATCGCACGTGAGAGCACGCACAGCAAATGTCCAAAATTCCGTCGCTTTTTTTTTCACGGAGAACAGATTGGGTCAAAGAGCGGAGTGTCTACAAAACGCGCGATTTTATCGGGGAACGCTCCGATGATATCGAATACCCATTTTCAGCGCTCGTCTACTTTGCACACGTCGACAGTCCGATTTTTATACACGTTCGCACAAGAAATATTTCCCACCGTTTATTTTCCCCGATTGCATCTCGGATATTTACAGGAGACGGCAACTGTGCGACGAACGAAAATCCCTACCAGAAATTTCTATATTGAAAACGGTCTCGCGGAAAATATACATGCGCGGCCTGAGTAGGTAATGCAATTGTTAAATATAACACGATAAAATTACAATAATTTCAAAAATATACAAGAGATATATACAGAACGACTTGAAAGTTGAGGGAATTTCCAACAATTTCAACTTTCAAGTATACTCGAAGTTGTAAGCTGCATCGAGTTCCTGATATTTTCCATGATAATTTTATTCTGCAAAATTTTAATTCTATTCTTCTTTTATTATTAAAAGCATAAGCTTACTACAAAAAATATCATGCGATACCTGTACATACACAACGATACACATGCTTTTATCGAATACCTCGGTTTGAAAAATGGCAAGAATCTCGTTCGGGTTCGGTATTCCGGTTCGCCGTTCGTCGAGCGAATCTGATTTAAGGAAAATTGGTCGTTCGGCGGAATTTTTCCGTGAGAGAGAAATAGGTGAACAAGGGAAAAAGAGAGGAATACAGTGGGCGGAAGAATCTGGAAATAAATAAATGATCCGCGCCGTATACATGAGGCGACGCTTCCGCTCGTCCCGTCCAATATCTCGACGAGTTCGAGCGTGGAAAAAGAACTTCGTGTTTTCGTAGGATTCTTTGCGGCTTGGAAAAAGCTCCATCATCGTTACCGCTACCGACTTTTTCCCCCTCTCTTTCTCTCTCTCCTCTCTCTCTCTCTCTCTCTCTCTCTCTCTCTCTCTCTCTCTCTCTCTCTTCCACTCCCTTGTTGCTAATCCCTAGGCGAATAAAGTGGGTTGCAGCATCAGAACGTGGGTATAACGGAATGCGCATATTAGGAACAGAGTTGCACCACTCTGTAACTTGTGTGCTCGCGAAGAGAGATGCAAATGCTGATAATTTTCTCGGTGCAGTAAGTTGCATCTGACGCAATGAGGGAAAACGATTTCCCTTGAGCAAAAAATAGAAGAAATAGATCGACACAGATTAAATATTATTAACCGGATAAATATAAAATAAAATTATTAATAAAAATAAAAATGATTACATAATCTGATCCCGTTAAAAATAAAAAAAAATTACAGTTAAAGTATTTTAGAGTTATAATATATTTTATTATTTGCAGCGGATAACCGATAAAACAATATGTTGAAATAAAATATTATATAATATGTGATAGTATATTCTGTTCTCTCTTTTTTACATACTTATGTTATGAAAGAATTAATGGCTTTTTTCGGATTTTTCTCAATATATTTCACAGATTATATTTTACTCCGATGTTTTTTGTAGAAAATATACTATTTTCACACTATTATTTTAAAAATCCAGCAATTCTAGAATGCTATTAAAAATAGACATTTTAAAATTGACAGAGATCTAGTGCAATATTCTGTTTGACATGTGTAAGTAAGAAGCGAGCAGAGGAATAAAGCGTAAAAATGACGTAAAAGATTATGGCTCTCCGGCTTCAGAAGCGGAAAGGGAGCAAATGAGCCGTATCGAGAAGAAGTCTCAAGCCAGCAGATAAACGTAGACGGAAACGAGAAACGGGAACGGAGACGAGGTAACGAGGAAGTTCAAACCGACAGTTCAACTTAAAAAAAAGAAAAGAATTTCAGAATTCAATGTTGAAAACTAATTGTCTTGTTTAAAGTTTGATCATGAGAACAATTGATATATTTTTGTTATTATTCTTACTTTTGCATTATATAAAATAAATCGCAGAAATTTTGCAAAAACGCTATTATATGAAACTTTTCTAAAATACACTTTATGAAGTGTATTTGATCATTGAAAATATAGGTCGCGAAAAGTTTTTCAAGCACACTTGATTTAAAATTCTCGGATTAACGAGGCATCATTAATTAGTAGTTTGTCAATGGTATTCAAACTCTTACCAGCAATTAAAAGGAGTGAGGTCGGCAACGTTCCAGAAGTCGTGGCTTTCGCGGCTTTGCAGAAAAGTCGCTAATGCGAGGCTGATCAGCGGCGCGCCCCAGGCAAAGAGGCTGTATTTCAGGTACGTCGGCGGATCGTCGCGACGCGGCAGCGACGCTACGGTGGCGTACAGGTGGTGGCACATCGCCGCTAGCCAGCAGACCACCGACACCCGTAGATACTGCAGACTCAAACCGAGCGAGATGCAAAGCTCTGAGTCCTAAAATAGATTAAACAAGTATGACAATTAGTATATGTAAATGACTTAAGAGTTATTGAATTTAATCAAAAATTGTAAAAATGCAATAAAACGACTCTGGCAATTTCTGTAACAATAGAAAATACAACGACGAAAAAAGAACCAAATACGCGCAAAGTGTTAGCGCGTAAAAAACCATATACCAACAGAAAAAATACAAAACAAAACAAAAAAAATAAAAAGAGATGTTTCGGTCCGACTTTCGGATATTCCTCAGTCTGACAGTGATATAAATGGTACGATAGTCACACGTAAACAAACGTGCAGCAGTGATTCGTCGGCACAATGTGTTTTGGTCTTGTATTTCTTTTGCACTCATTTGATTCTTATTGTTTTTTTCCCCCCGTTAATATTTTCTGACAATTTTGTGTTACAAATGCAGACTAAAATAAATTATTATTCCTAGTAGATAAAAAAATATAGAAAATATAAATGTTGCGTATCGAGCACACCGAACGGAATAAAATATTCGTTTTTTCAATGTGCGGATTATGGCGAACTATGCACTCGCGCATAAAACTATTCGGCGATATTTTCCAGCGCGAATAAACGTCACCGTCAATTTGCTTCATGATAAACGGCACAAGTGCGAGTAATAATTCGCAATAGTAGCCTAAACCTGTGAGCCGCGAATACTACGGATAGTCGGCAAATTATTTACGTCGAAAATTACACAACACGTAGACCAATATATATCCATCTCGCATGCAATATCACGAAATAATCGATCAACGGTGACGTTAACGAACGCGTTGTTAATTCGCTAATTTATGGAACAGTCCGTGTTAGGCAAATAACGTGGCATTAATATTATTGTGTAGTAATGATGTATGAAAGCCCTTAATTCCCTGGCTGTACCTTCGCGGGCAGAATAACTCGCCGCAACAGTTGTGTACTTTGAAATTCGATAGAATAAACTTCCATCGATATCGTGTAATCAGTTTAACATCGTTTTAATGCGGAATAATAATTAGAAACGCGATACCGATTAGAAATTTTGATAATTATAGCAATCAATCCGTGATAATTTAACTCAAAACGCAACTCTGTTTAGTGAACAAGAGAGATCAATCGAATTAATAGAATCAAATTAATTAAAATATTAAAATGTAATGTATTGCTAAAATAGAGCTCAAAGAGAAAAAAAAAGTGAAATTAAAAATACCACTTAATTATTTTAAATGTAAAAACTGAATGGCGTATGCACAATTTGAGAGATTAAAATGTAAATTTGCCATTTTTCGGAAAATATACAAATAAATTCGTAGCGATCTATACAAAGTGCTCCGCCATTAACGAAGCTCATGATAGATACAGTCCGCTTTTTCTCTTTTTAATTGAAGTAAACTGAAAAGCTTCTCCGTATTTCAGTGTGAATACACATGTAACCAGCGTTCGTCTTTGATAAATCAACTACGTGAGGGATTTACAGTGTGCAACATGATGCTAAAAGAGAAACCGTTTCTATCTCTCGTAACCGATACTACGTTGCATACGGTTATACTTCTCGACGATGCACGACCGTCCAACAATCGCGCGCGGACAACGTTGTTCGCGCATCGAAACGGAAGCGGAAATAAATTGGAGGGTGCGCGCGAATGCTTTGTTGGAATTCGTGGCTCACGACGGGATACAAAGGACCGGTCTGCAGGGTGAAATTGCATCGCAAGCGAGTGAGCGGTTCACGTCAGAGGACAAATTTTACGTGAGCATATGTCTTCAAACGATCCCCCTTTGCATACAATTCTTGCGCACCATTAAATACTCTATTGTTCCATTTTCACTTTATCTAAACGCGGAGTGAAGTTTAAGATGACAATTTACACAATTCTCGCAGAGTTTGCGATATATCTGTTAATTGCGAAGTGAAATACAAGACTTTTAATTAACCAGTAAGATACAATTCAATTGTGCCACTTTTAGATAGGCCGTTTCGCGTCCAAACAATTCTCTTTCGCATGCAATTTTATAAATTGGCAATTCTTGCGCTATTCAATTATTATCTCATCCGAAGATTTCGTTTTTAATTTTCGGAAAAAAAATTTCTACACGGTATATATTCGATTAATTCTCCGCGTATACGCAAGCAATCAAACCACAAAACAAGTTCAAGTTATGAAATTGGTGTTCTCGACGTGGCGAATACCTCAGCGAAGTAATATAACGCAGTTTATCCTAGCATTCGGTCTCGATGTACGAGAAACTCTCTTCGGGAATTTCGTTATAACGCAAATACGCGCGTTCGTAACGTGCGAAACTTGCCAATGTAAACTTTCAAGTTATTTCTGGAGGTTCTAGGGCAACATTCTTACTCAACCGAATTTTCGCTTCGGAATTCAATAAACCTTCGTATACGCTGGTCCTTCCGTTTCGCGTCGTATATAATTAAATGAAAGTTTCCGGGCGCACTTTGTAGCTACACGTGTAGCTACAATTAATGTTACCACAGTTTAATTTAATTTAATTTGACTCAATAACATCACTGCGATGTGACGACTTCGTTATACTCGCGACAAGTCGACCGCGCTGAAATGACTCCTGCGTAATGAAATAACATTTGTCATATAGCAGCCGGCGACGGAAATTGTGTTATTGTTACAGCGACGAAACATTGACGAGGTAGACTTCGTCGCAGCGCGGTCGCAGCTGTGAGATTGTTGAACCAGTCGTTGGAAATCATTTTCAAAATGTTGACCGATCGGCGCGTGCGATTCTTATAACGATTGCCGTTGCGCAGTGAAAAAACCTATGTGTGGTCAGACCGGCAATATTCAGTCTTGCTGAATCGCTATATTTTTCTTGCGGGGAAAAATAATGTTTTTGTACATGTCGGACGGCACGGCACGGTGGCTTCTAGACCGCGTTAATGAGATTAACGGTGAAAAGAGGCTTCAATTTCAAGCTGGTAGCGGTATCAGATTAAATCAGACACTACCGCGACAACGGCGTAACTCGAGCGTACACTCTGACGTAGCTACACGATGGCACAAAGAACACATATTGCAAAATATCAACTTTCTCAACGAGATCTTTTCTTGTGAAGTGTACATAGTATGTTACAAACAAATAATATAAAAATTTCTTCAGCGAGAATTGTACCTACAACCATTTTATCTATCATAAATTTTTAAATTAGTTATTTGCATTTAAAATTTCTTAGATTTTATTTAATTAGAATCGGCAAATTGTTTATAAGAAAAATTTTTTATGATCAAAATTTCAAAAACTGAGCCTTAAAAAATACATCAAGAATTTATTAATCAAATAAACTGCGATTATTTTATTCTGTAGCTTCGCAATCAATTTTCTATTCGTAAAATCACTCTCTCTCTCTTTTTTCATGCAAATTACTACCGCTTTCGAATAGCTCGTGTTAAAATTGAAATAGAATCGTCCAATTTCTAGTTGCTGAAACTTCCAATTGGTCGAACGAAGTATTTTAGACAAGGCTAAAAGAACATAAAGCCGCAGACGAAAGGTCCTTTAGAAAGCCCTGAATTATTCGAAGCCACCACGGGTGTGGTAAAACGGAAGATTGGAAGACGTGCGCGAAAGCTCAGCTTGGTCGCCTTTACATGACGCATGAGTAAGCCCCGGATTATCCTCGTGTCTAACAGCCACGTAGGATATCGGACGACGAGATTTGATCTCGTCGTCAGCGAAAATCGATTTCTCTACGAGTCGACTTTGGAGAGTCATCCATCAACTACACTACAAATTCAAAGTCGTTACATTTATATTATGAATTTTGTTGCTTTATATATATATATATATAAAATCATTTTAGAAAAAGAATATAATATTAGTTAAATATAACAATTAATAATGATACTTTCAATTAAAACTGTGCGAAAAATACTCGCAAAATTATTAAAAGATTAAATTTCCTTGTTTATCTGTTTTATAGAAAATATAAACAAAAAAAAAATTATTTTCTATAATTATTTGTATTTAAATAAGTATTTTAATATTAATATTTAGAAAAAAATTCATGCGTATTGATAACTTATTTGTATAAATCCAAAACATGGAAAAATTTCGCTGTTTTGTCTAATACGAGATGATACCGTGAGATTATAACGTGCGCATTTCCGCGAGTATCGTTTTGCCTCAACTGTAATTGGCAAAGTTTTTATATCACTGTACAAGTCCATTTGCTAACAACGAAAATAAAAGAAAAACGATATTACAGCCCGTTTTCAAATTCTCTAATTTCTCCGATTAAAAACGGATGCAAGTACAGTATCACTTACATTTCTTACTTATGTAAAATGATAGAAATGATTCTTTCAACAATTTTTATAGATAAATGTGAAAAAAAGAGATACAAAATATAATTGCCCACTCAAAAGAAATAAATTCACATGATATGACGTGAATGAAGCTATCTGTTGAACAACCACATATTGACTTCGGATTTACTTATCTTTCTTATTTATATTATCCTTTACTTCGTAATTTCCCCCACCCGCGGAGATTGGAATCCTCAGTCACCGAACTAAAAGACGTCACGCACTTATGAAACAAAGAGTTGTATAAAAGAACAAAAACTAGAAAAAGAAAAGAATACAATAAGGGTTTAAAAAAGGAGTCTGAAAAATGTGTATAACTCAGATTTTATCTTTTCTCGATTGCCAACGGAAAGACAACGTTGCAAAAAAAAAAAAAGCGGAAAGACTTTCAGTCCGTTTCCCGATGATAAGGAAATAAATTACTATCTGTGAATCTTCAATTTCGCGTGTTCGCGGATGAAATACGGATAAAAGAAGGGTGCGCTTTCTGCGCGAGGACTTTTCATCGCGCAACGATCTCAATCTCGACAGAACGCGAGCGGATATAGACGATCGATTTAAGCTCTTTCTCTCTCTTCTGCCGAGGATTATAGCGAAGTTAATATCGGAAATGTAAGCCCCCATGTCAACCGAGCGTTATGCTTGGTAGAACAGAGTACACGATATTTT